AGAAGATTTTCATTTCATGGATTAACTTTAGTTAGACAAACGTTGAAAATCTAAAAGTATTAGATAAATATTTTGTTCGCTTCAGGAATGCATATGGACGACCCCACAGGTGATCAGAACCATCAAGTCATGTAGATAATGTTTAGAAGACATAGGCTAGAATGACTTGTCCCTCAAGGAGTACCTAGTTTTTGCAGGTTATCTAACTAAAAGTCATTCAGTAATATGAAACGTCAAATCCAATAAACTCAACACCGCATAACAACTACTCAAGAGAAGCTTAGTTTTAAAGTTGGAATTCATCTTTTCGAAGAATCAATATAAATAAGTCATTAATTTTCAATCATAACTGTTTTTAGGCATTTTGTTTACGCATTCTGGAATCACCAAGTACTAATATCAAAGCATAGGTACTAAATAACTTTGATTCATTTGGTTAGGGTTTGTGTTACTATGATGATTAGAAGTATTTGAATTATAGTATGAAGTAAGAATCTCAGAAATAACGTAATCAAATCAAAAAGTACTAGATAAGCACAAACGAATGTACTGTATTTAGAATTCGAAATCAAGCATTCAACAAGTATAAAGGAATCATTAGTTCATTGAAACACTACAGTTACACAACGATATCCTAAAAAATGATATCTTCTGAAAGAAAGATTAACTGCAGTGGAACCAAAACATAATATCAGTCAATAAAGTCATCAAACGTTGGACTTTTGAGTTGTGTCAAAAGAGGAGAATACTTTGTTTATGTTTGTAAGATAATCATAGTCCCTATTTCTAAACCTATAGTCTGTATTATCCCAAGTGTATTCGGTACTGATGTTCCACACTGAGACTTGATCAATAGAATTCGATCAGTAATAATTGATTAGATAAAAGCGACAATGATTATTAGTCAGTGATCAATCAATGGTCGACTTAATTATTCTTATTTTGCTCCATAGCAAGATTATGCACACTCAATAATGAGTAATTCTATACTCAGAATGGAATCACCGTAAATGAGGTTGACCTATGAAGAATACTCCCTACCAATTAAAATAATCTCAGTAATCTTCATTAAGATTGTAATTACATTTTTATTTAACTACTTTCATTAACTTTGTTTTGTTTTAAAATCATGTTTTTTCTATGGCAGTGTTTGTCACATCGTATTTAGTTGTTTCAGTAATCTTATGATATTCTAAGAATGAAGGTTTGTGAAGAAGCACTGGATGGTCAATTCATCCATATATGAAGTTCTCCATCAGTGCGCATGCACGATCCCTCATGTGAAACTTGAACCCAAGACGTTGGGTCTCACACGCGAATATTTAACCAATAGACTACTGAGCTGGCATCTAACGGTGTTAATGTCTAACTTCAACCAACCCACCATATTGATCGACCATTTATCATTGCCTTCAGTCGGTAATTGCCTCACCATAGACACAGTTAAATTCCCCTGGTCACTGCTTCTGTTTTATACATTTTTAATGAACATTTTTTAATTGGGAAGTTGGGTTAATAACTGATTGGGTTACCTTTTAACTATGATCTCGAATTACATTAATAGGGATAAATATATATTTGATAGATTTGTTATAGTTATAATTCTGTATTCATTCAATGGCTTAAATTCATTATCACATCGAGTAGATCCACGTTGAATTGAATAGGGATACTGTAAGAGATTTTATGAGACACTGATTTTCAGAAAAAAAGATTCATGTTGCCGCTTTTAATCGGTATAAAAATTCATAGACGCTAAATGTCAGGGGATGATAAACAGGTCGCATGTTGCTGCACATCTGGTTCTAGATCGTTCCATCAACTTTCGAATATTATTATGATTTGCCAGTTCGATTCACATGCTTTTTTTATCGCTTGCTCAACAGTCTATACAGAGTTAGTAGAACTAATAGTTTATAACTTTGTATAAGTGAAAAAGTCACTTGCAAAAACTTTCGCTTTTATTTGCACTTCTCACTTGTTCCTATGATAGTTTGTCTTTTCTGGTGTTGCCATTACATCTAAAGTGTATGAAATCATTCAATCTATCATCTCATCTCATCGGCTTCAGATGATACGATATCATGTCAGGCTAGATAGTTTGCTTTGTACAACTTTAATGTTTAGTAATCAATATGTTTGCTTTTGTTAAATAGATTATATTGACAATATGAATCTATTTTACCGTTGGTGACTAACGTTGGGGATGGTTGGAAGAAAGTTAGGCGCGGCCAAACCAAAACGGGTTATACCAGTCTTTAAAATCACTGAATGGTGAATCTTCTGGACCCCTCCCCCCCTAATTTTAGAACAATAATAGGTCCGTGTGAATAACGTAAGCGATAGTTGGAGACCTTGAATGACATGGATCCAAATCGTTTGCGATCGAGCAGGTTCATCCAATCTTTGTCTTCCCCCAAGTTCTGATATTTTAGATTCCTCATGACTTTTTCTCTTCTCCTTTCACTAATTTGTATTTTCTACTCGAATCGTATCTTCGATGCTTGATCTTCTCTAATACCACTGATACTATTACTACTTCTACTATTCTAGGATTTGACCTGAAAATTTCATCTCTTTGAGCTAATGAGGTATGGCAACTTGAACCAATGTACATACGTACCAGATTCTACGGTGTGACTGACTAACTGACCAGACTGAGTGATATGAACAGATACCGAAAATAGTAAAGAAACTCTGTGCTAAAACAATGGTTTATGTTGTGTTATTTATTCATCTCCTAGACTTTGTGTTCAAGTCCTATTAGACTAGTAAAAGATTAATAATTAAACCAGCTGCTTATATCATTCAGTCTCAAGTCAATACTTTAAGTCAAAATTACATTCAGTTTACAATGTTTTTTTTCAGTTCAAACTCCATAATGATCCTATACTTCCCTACATGAATTGTACACTTTAAATAGCTTTATAATATTTCACATATTAGAATTATCATTATAGAGTTGTGGAGATTATTAACACTGTTGGATGCCAGCCGGCTCACTAGTCTAGAGGTTAAGCGTCCGCTCATGAGACTGCAGGCTCTGGGTTCGAACCCTGCTAGTGGGACCGTGAATGCGCACTACTGAGGAGTTCCACAGTAGGACTAAACGGCCATCCGGTGCTTCTAGGTTCTCCATGGTGGTCTAGCTTCAATCAGTTCATAATCTCAATCAAAAACTATTAGAATTATGTTAATATAACCTGGAAGAAATCATTTTTTAATGCTGATAACTAGTACTAAACGTTCATATAGTTGTAATCATTTTTGTATTATGTAATGGTTATTTATAATTGTATCCTATAGATTAAGTTGTAATATGTAGTCATTAGTCTAAATGACTTGAAATCACATGAACTGTTTTCATCTTAGATGATTGAAACTAGTCAAGTTATAACTATGAACTTAAGTTTTTCATCAGTTAGTACTCATCTCCAAGTAGATAGATCTACAATATTGAACTAGTACTTTATGTAGATGTTTAACCTACGTTATTCAGTATATGATTCAAAGATATTGTAGATCACCAGTAGAATTGAAATGTCTACTTACTAACTTATCAATTACATAATCTATACCACTGTATAGGTATGATCAAGTTGATACAAAAGGGGTTCATTAGTTAAAAAAATATGGTTGATATATTTTATTTGAATATAGCAACAAACTCATAGACGTTTTAAAATGATAAGTGTTGTATAGGATTCATCAGTTAGTAACTAGTATTTTATACAACTTGAAAGGAAACGTAAGACCACAAATTGACATAAATTGGATAAACATTGAAAATACGAAAACACTATATATCTGTTCTGTCCTAGTATGGGACTATTCATTTGTACGTGACCACGGCCCTCACACAAGAGATCCAACCCATAACCTACAGCCTCCCCCAAATGGGAGGTTCATAATAAGATTGTTTATGTATATAAAGTCCTTATACTTCCGCTATTGAAGTGGTATAAGTAGGCCTGAACATACACAAGAGGAAGACCAATCAAATCACACTTGATGAAGAAACTTTGGAAGAGGTAGAATCCTTCACATACCTGGGAAGCATAGTTGATGAACTGGGAAGATCAAATGCAGACGTAAAGGTGAAGATCGGTAAAGCAATGGCCTCATTCCTACAATTGAAGAACATCTGGAACTCAAAACAACTGTATGTCAACCAATATCATAGTCACAATTTTCAATACGAACAGGAAGACAGTCCTACTCTACGCAGATGAAACATGTAGAACTACTACAACAATCATAAATAGTTGTTTACGCATGATACTCATTATCAGCAACCGACTTTGTGGGAGAAGATAAACCAGCTTCCAGTTGAAGAGGAAATTAGGAAAAGGCATTGGAAGTGGATAGGACATACATTGAGGGAATCATCAAACTGCATCACAAGGCAAACCGTTAGTTAGAATTCTGAAGGGGAAATGGAAAAGAGGAAGGTCAAACAACACATTAGGTCTGTAAATAGAAATAGATATGAAAAGGATGTATAGCTACTGAAAACAACTGGAAAGTATTGTCCAGTACAGAGTTGTATAGAGAATTCCGATGGGTGACCTGTTCTTCTTTACGAGGAATAACAGGAGTAAGTAAGTAAGTAAGTAATCGAAGTGATATACGGTCTCCTATATAATCCGAAAGCAAGGAAGCAAGCATACTTTGTACTATAAAATATTGTAATGATTACTATGGTGACTATGTATTCTAAAACTCGACGGTTGAACTGACTTAATTATCTGGATTATAACTTTCTCAAAGAAATTCAGTCTATCACTGAATGGCAATTAAACAGATAGCTCTTTATCACTTCTAATCACTTCAAAATTAAGATCAGATTAACCGAAATCAAATGCAAAGGCATTCAACAGTCTCAATGTTCCAAATGAACAATAGTAACTAATATCATGTTTGTGTAGGCATAACATTCAATCACTTACTTCAATAAGATTTGATCATTTAAATTGATAAAGCTGTTTTCCTTTCTACAGCTCATAACAATAATGATGATAATGATCAAGATATTAAAGAAGATCTTTTGAAGAATGTCAAAATACAAGTAAGTCATCTGGGTTATGGATCAGATTTGATATTATTTCTAGTATAGGATTATAGAGATTGTTATATTGTGATTGAGATCATGATTGATCAATGTTAGAACACTATTAATGATCTGAAAGCACTAGACGACCATTTTGTCTTAGTATGGAACTCCTCAACAGTGTACACCTATGATCTCACACATGGGATTCGAACCCAACACCTTCGGTCTGGTTAAAACAACACATTATTTGCATATCTTTCTTGAATTAACTTTTACTAGTTCTATCGTTCTACCATTCTTGTTATTACTTGAACTGATTTTGCTTTTCTTTCACATCTTCGCATGTTCCTCTTCTGTCATTAAGAATATTACATTCAATTCTTGATACATACTACTTATATCACTCTGTATAAGCACTACTACTACTACTACTACTACTACTACTACACTTTAGATAAATCAGCTGATGGAAACTTGTTGACAAGTGAATAATGTGATTTTTTAGTAACATGTGATAGTAGACTTATTTTAATGGATTATAAATCTCTAAATAAAGAAGTATGGTGTTTGTTTCTCAATGTCTTATTCCTCTTTTCATTTAATTCTAAGGTAAAAATGCTTATGGAAGAAGCTGTCATCCGTGGTTATGTTCATGAAGATAGTGAAACAATTGGTAAACTGTGTTGTAAGTCACTACACGTTTTTTCCTCTATTTGCTATTACTTAATGAATTGATTTAGAAAAGATTTTAGGAAACAGATTTTAGAATAATGGTAGGTGTTAGTTAGTTAGTTACTTACTCTTGTGACTCCTAATGGAGCATAGGACGCTGAACGACATTCTCTAACCCACTCTTTCCTGGGCCTTCCTTTCTAGTTCTATTCAATTAATGTTTATTCTTCTCATGTCTGTCTCCATTTCTTGACGCGATGTATTCTTTGATCTTCCTCTTTTCCTTTGGCCTGGAGGATTCCAGATGAAGGATCGAGTTTTATTCAAAACATTAACTCTCCTTGATGGACAATTAGATTCGATTGATCAGTGAATCTAGTATCAATTCAGTATAATTATAACATAGTTTTATCCCTAATAATTCCACTTTTTAGTATTAGTGTGAATGGTTCTTGGAGGTTGTTGAATTTCATATTCTATATTACGAGGTAATTTTCAGAGTATTAGTCAGAAGCTGTAACTAATGAAATTCAACATTGTTTAATGACATTGAAAGACAGTTGCTAAATATTGCGAATGGATTGAGTAAGGAATGTATATCATTGGTTGTTGACTCAAGAGTGTAACTTTTAATTGGTCACTATGACAAATGGGAATCGTGATTTCGATTCTTGTTTGGGTTTTGTATAAGCACTGATGGAAAGCCCTGTACTGGGACGAAACATTTATTTAGTATGGCCCAATTCTAAGTAGTTTTCTAACTAAGTTCAGTCCATAATGTAAACTATGAAGCACGTGATACTACTTAGAATCATCTGGTGTTTAGTTTCTAATGATGATCACTTCTGTTATTTAGATTAAAATGCAACTCAACATTGTAAAAGCAATCGTTTGAAAGCTGGTTCAATAATTTTGAACAAAGTCTGATTCCCTTCAAAATATTCCGATTGGTTACGCTGCGTGTTAATAGTCTGAGATACAATCATCGATAGTATAGGGTTGTGGAGATTGTTAGGTTTTTGATTAATATAATGAATCGACCAATATTAAACCATCATTAAGGCCCTGGAAGCACTGGACAACCGTTTCGTCCTAGTGTGGGACTTCTCAACAATGCGCATCCACAACTGCATACACGGGATTCGAACCCAGGGTTTTCGGTCTCACGCGCGATTGCTTAAACTCGAGACCATTAAGTCGGCATCCAACAGCGTTAATGCATAACTTCAATTAATCCACGAAATTCAGCAACCATTTTTCATTGTTTTCGGCGGGTAACTGCCTCACATACGCACGGATTAGATTCATTGTCTTCGTGACTGGCCTCCAAATGTTCTGCCAACGCTGTGTTTTCAACGCGCCTAGACTCTTCATTTCGTTCGACAATTTTCGCGACTTCGACGCCACGTTCTGCTACACACTACTTACAAATATTCTTGTGAGTTGCAACCACCATAACACGTCCACACCGCATAAACAGTAGGGAAAATACAGCTATGTTTGGACTAAGCATTAGAGTTTAAAAATAGAGTACCAAAGGTTACGTTTAAATTACTATAGTTTTGGAATAGACAAGGATATGGTGGTGAATCACACATCAAATGAAAGCTTATGGTTTATGGAATAAATCCAAGACAAAACCTAATATTAGCGTTTTACATACTCTGAATAACGTGAAATAGTTGCCTCCCCCCCAAATAGCTTCCGTTGTTTGTCATGGCTTCTTTATTTCTCTGTTCACGCCAGAACCTAACAAAACATACATCTATGACATTCTACTCAACTGTTTAAAACTTCCCATGCTATTATTGTCTCTGGTTTATATTTCTCAATTGTTTTACTCTATTGTTAATAGTTAAGTGTACAAGGAAAAATGAACAGGTAAATAACCATTAGGAAAACTCAAGTGTTGAGTAGCTGTTTCGTTTTATTATGCGATTCAATAGTAGGTGTTCACGACATCGATACAGGTAATCAAATCCATGACCTTCTTTCTGGTATATGGATGCTCAACCTTTAGATAACTGAGCTGATGTTGAACAATTTAGTATTTACCATAAATCATCTACCATTGACTGTCGTCAATAACTGTTTTACTCTCAATATAGTCAAAACTCCAGTGATCAAGATTTCTTATTAGAACACCAATAATTACATATTGAAAATAGTCACTAGTGAGCAAACGATTATGATCAATATAGGATCTCATTGAGATTACAGAATTTTCATGAATCCATACTGTTAAACAGTAATATACTGGGATAAAAACAGCTATTCAGTGCTTACTCTTATCCTTATTATCCCAATTTGACTATTATAAAGCATATATATTATTTTTGATTGAAACCATGAGTCAGTCTCACGCCAGGCACTTAACCAACTAGACCACTGAGCCGGCATCCAATGGTATTAACGTCTAACCTCAACCGATCCACGAAATCACTGGTTAGGCTCCTGGCACGGGACTGATGGGTCCTGGGTTCGAATCTCGTGAGGTGCGGGATCGTGGATGCGCACTGCTGAGGAATCCCATACTAGGACGAAATGGCCGTCAATGTTTCCACGTTTTCTATGGTGGTCTAGCTTCAATTGATTCATGATTTCAATAAAAAACTTAACAATCTCCATAACACCTAAACTGATATATATTATTGTGACGTAACTAATATCCATGACATTATATATATACATATTTTTTTGATTATAGCATCCGTTGAAGCGGTACTTCTTTATGGAGTACGTCGAAGTATATTCACATGGATAGAAGAAGAATCCACTTATGTATTATGTCAAAAAATAGCAAAATTTTGTCCAGAAGCTCAACATACATTAAATCGCATAGATTATTATAAACAAACTATTTTAAAGAAACGTAATGATTCTGATATAAAACGTAATCTATCTTCATTACATCATAATAATACAATGAATAAATCATTTATATTTAATGAAAAATCATCATCATCAATGAATTTCACATTTTGGTTAAATGATAAACGTAATAATCTATTAATAAATGGGTAAATTATTCAATGTTTCAATGTTTCGTTGTCATATTATATTGTTTATATTGATAAAGTGATTGAATTATTTAGTTATAACTGATAGTATTAACGAGAACAGCAGTCCAATCACTCTTGATGACGAAACTCTGGAAGATGTAGAATCCTTCACATACATGGGAAGCATCATCAATGAACAAGGAGGTTCAGATGCAGACGTAAAGGTGAGGATTGACAAAGCAAGGGTCGCATTTCTACAATTGAAGAATATATATGGAACTCAAAACAACTGTCTGTCAACCAATATCAAAGTGAGAATCTTTAATACGAACGTCAAGGCAGTTCTACTGTATGGAGCTGAAACTTGGAGAACTACAACAACCATCATCAAACATGTACAAGTATTTATAGACGATTGTCTACAGAAGATACTCTGTGTTCGTTGGTCGGATAACATAAGTAACAGATTTCTATGGGAGAGAACAAACCAACTTCCAGCTGAAGTAGAAATTAGGAAAAGACGATGGAAATGGACTGGACATACATTACACAAATCATCAAACTGCATCACGAGGCAAGCCGTAACTTGGAATCCTGAAGGGAAGCGGAAAAGAGGAAGACCAAAGAACACATTACGTCTGGAAATAGAAGTAGATATGAAAAGGATGAATTACAACTGAAAGGAGCTGGAAAGGATTGCCCAGGACAGGGTTGGATGGAGATTGCTAGTGAACGGCCTATGCTCCTCCACGAGGAGTAACAAGAGTAAGTAAGTAAGTAAGATAGTACTGGCGTGTTATATTGTTGACGCCAACAAATTCACCAACAATAAACAGTTGATAGGTAGATCAGTTGATTGGAAGTCATTGACCTATTTCACATTCTCTCTTTTTGTCTCTATGTCTTGAGTTCACCTTCATATGAGGTTGTTGATGAGTACGTACTTACTTACGACTATTAATCCTTGTGGAGGAGTATAGTCCGTCCACTAGCATTCTTCATCCAATTTTGTCCTGGGCAATCGTTTTCAGTTGTTTACAGTTGCTATTCATCTTTTTCATGTCTACTTCCAATTCCCGATGTAATTTGTTCTTTGACCTTCCTCTTTAATGTTTCCCTTTAGGATTCGATGTATTGATGAATATTACTGATGAGTGACCAATTAGGATGAAATAACTTTAATGCATACTCTCTGATTTTCAACACTACTCAAACTGTTATCACTTTTTGTGATGATTTGTTATATTATAGAATGGAAGTAACTACTTATCTGTTGGTTGGAATACAAGAGTCTTGTAATTCTATCAGTTTTATCTATTAAAATTAAATAATTTTCGTTCATAAAATTTTTAGCAACTAATAATTATCAGTATAGGGTACTCACCAAAGACAATTGTGGACGGTCGCGCAATATCGTGGATTGATTTAAGTAAAACAATAACACCGTTGTATGCTGGCTCAGTGGTCTAGAGCTTAAGCGTTCACGCGCGAGACTGAAGGCCCCAAGTACAAATCTCGCGAGCAGGATCGTGGATGCGCAGTGCTGATGAGTCTCACAATAAAACGAAATGGCCGTCCAGTGCTCTCAGATTTTCACTGGTGGTCTAACATTCACCCATTCACGATATCAATCTAAATTCAACAATTACCACAAACCTACAGTGAAAACAATTCATCATCATCATCATCAGACAGCATAACAGGAGCAGCTTTTGAAGTCAGATGACTTCGAAATTTAAGCATTGTAACTATATAAAGTATCGATGATGGATAGTGGCTAGCAATGGAATCCATGGTACACGTTTAGTGCTGTTTGAGACTCGTTAGCTGGATGTATCCGCATCCAAGAGCTGATGTTCACTATGGGACACGAACTCAGTACCGTTCACTTCAAACGCCATTGCATTATCCACTTATAGCTATTCAGTTCCCAATAGCCACCATCCATCTTTGCTTAAAAAGCTTTTAACTTAAGGCTATATCAAGGCAGTCCGTACAGAATGCACATATGCCAACAAGAGACGGATCAATTGCAGTCCTAAATAACAATGGGCAGATACAAGTAAAACAACACCAAGTGAATTTAAACTTCACCTCGTTGAACAAGTAGGTGGCTATCACGATTCAGTAGCAAAGTGGATAATGCGATGGTGTTTGAAGTGAACGTTACTGGGTTCAAGTCCCAGAGTAAATACCAACACTGGGATGAAAGTACATGACAAGTCCCAAATAGGACGAAATGCGTGTCTTGGTTTCCACTGTTAGCCACTATTCATCTTTGCTTATAAAGTTTATAACTTAAGGCTATATCGAGCGAATCCATACAGGATGCACATATGCCTACAAGAGACTAATCAATTACAATCCTAAATAACAATGGGAAGATACAAGTAAAATAACACCAAGTGCATTTATTAAACTATGAGTTACTGAAATGATCAATGTCCAGTTACTAACAGCAACTAATTTAAAAATTCGAATCCCCACCTTCCATTAAATTGAAAAAAAGAAAAGAAAAGAGAAGAAAAGACCATAATTAGATTTATTTTAGATATTTAATGGTGTAGTTCCGGTTCGTTTTTGAAAATTGTCAATTATTGAATTCTTTTTATAATCACTAACTTGGTTACTATTCAAGATTAGAATACTTGAATACATTTAAAATAATATAAAGGATCATTCATTCAAACAGAATATAATCCCTAATCAATTATGTAATATGATTACATGTATATATATATTGATTATTGTAATCGATATTGATTGACTAAAATGAACCAGTTTTTAGTTTCCTTCCATTAAACTAATAAGTTAAATTAGTTTCTATGATAGAATGTAAACACCATGGTGATGTTCTCAAAGGAATTTATGTGACTAAACATATATCCAATGGTGTTAATGTATAACTTCAACTATTGTCTTCGGTGAGTAACTTTCTCATATACGACACGGATTAACTCCATCGGTCATAATCTCTCAACTAGAACTTCAAGAATGACCTCTTAAAGTTAGTCATTAGTGAGTACATGTTAATTATCCGTATATGGGTTGTGGAGATTGTTGAGTTTTTTGATTGAGTTTATGAATCAATCAATGTTAGACCACTATTAAAAACCTTGAAACACTAAACGGCCGAATATCCTGGGATTAAGTCTCGTGTGTGCAGTTGTGGATACTCACCACTGAGGAGTTTTATACTAGGACGAAATAGTCATCCAGTGATTTCAAGTTTTCAATGGTGGTTTAATATTGATCCATTCATAAATCTCAATCAAAACTTAACAATCTCTATAACTCCATACTAAGAAATAGAATAGTTTATGGCTCCCGAGAAGGTGATTTTTCTAATTCATAAGACAGGTGAAAATATTGTACAGTGAATGCTTTTACCATCTTAGAAGGAAATGCACTATTCATATAAGTATTTTCAGCTATGGATAGCGCGGGTTTTAGAAAAAAGGAATACAGTTACGCATTTAAAAACGAGAAATAGTCCGGTAAACATTTATTGTTTTAATGTGATCGAGTAAAGTTCTATGTAGTTGAATTTGACCTACTAGAATGTCATTCTATGGACCTACAATTCTTAGAAAACATAGTTTTGATTTTCACAAAATTTAGTCTTCTGATAACCTTGAAGCATAATGGAAACGTTTGTAGGAAGTGTTTCTTTCATTAAATGATGTCCCCCCCTTCCAGTCGAACAAGTTGGTGAAGCTTAGTAGGTCCTTCTGGAGAGAAACAGGCCACATCAAAGCACGACACAACTACCGGGGCTAGAATAGTTGTTTCTGCAGTCGTTTGGAGTTCGCCCAGTGACGAGCAACTCCAAATGATACATGCACCACTTTCGAGAAAATTTTTTGTCTTTTTCCATTCCAAATGTAGTTGTGCTATGTTTATCTGTGGAGTTCGTAATCAGTTGGTGAGTATAGGTAGAGTGGGTGATTAGCCCGATCTCCACCACCCGGATTACCGCTGACGTTAGTTCATGAGTCACTCGTCTTATTATCCAGGAGGCACGACGCGGACGTAACTCCGCCTGTAGCTCTTATAGGGTTGCTGCCGGTCCCAAGCCCGGGTAAAGGAGGAGGGTTGGGCATGGGGTTAGCGTCCCCATCCCGTAGAAAACTAACTCGCTAAAAAAACGCTTACCAGAAAAAATAATCCAAACCATTTTAACTCTGCCCTGGGAGTTAGAAGGTCTTCATTTAGAAGAATTATGACGCTTCATGGTGAAAGCCGAGTTTCTTCGGAAGCCACGAGGCCGATGCCCCTTCTAACAACCAGAGCAAAAATTTTTATAGGTACATGGAACGTCCGAACAATGTGGGAAACCGGGAAGACCAGTCAAATAGCAATGGAAATGAGGAGATACAACTTAGCAGTACTGGGGATCAGCGAAACTCACTGGACCCAAGCTGGACAGAAAAGACTAGCTACGGGAGAGATGCTGCTATACTCCGGTCACGAAGAGGAAAATGCTCCACACACTCAGGGAGTCGCTCTTATGCTGTCCAAAGTAGCACGAAATGCACTTGTAGGATGGGAATCTCACGGATCCAGAATCATTAAAGCATCATTCAAAACAAAGAAGGAGGGGATCTTAATGAATATTATCCAATGTTATGCACCCACCAATGATAGCAACGACGACATTAAAGATCAGTTCTACGAGCGGCTGCAGTCAATCATTGAGAAATGCCCAAGAAAGGACCTAACTATTCTGATGGGAGATCTAAATGCCAAAGTCGGAATAGACAACACTGGATATGAAGATATTATGAGACGACATGGACTGGGAGAAAGAAACGAAAATGGAGAAAGATTTGCAAATCTATGTGCATTCAACAAATTGGTCATAGGAGGCACAATATTTCCACACAAGCGTATACACAAGGCTACATGGATCTCACCGGACCACACTACAGAGAACCAAATAGATCATATTTGCATCAACAAAAAATTCCGAAGGACAATGGAAGATGTGAGAACCAGGAGAGGTGCTGACATAGCTT